AAATGTCAGGAATGCCCGAAGGCAGATTTTTAAAAAGAACTGAAGCATAGCTTTATTTGAGGTATCCAAAATTTTACTATTGTTTTACCTTTTTAAATGTACTGCTTTTTTTATTGGCTAAATATACATTGCAAGTTATCTCTTATAAACAGTACTATATACTCAATTGTTATATTTAAATTTTAATTAAGTTGTCGGGCCCTTTGTGTCTTACTTGCCCAAGGGCCCTCGAAATTGTTGAGACGGCCCTGCTCATGTGGCACAATTTAAACATACAGTACATGAATAAAAAATAAATTGTTGTTCTCAGTTTTGACATACAATTTATATTTAAATTCTATTTAATTGAAAGAAAAACTAATAGATTTTCTGTGTACAACTTTTTATGCAAAAATGTATTAATTGACATACGTGTAGTACACAATATTATTATATTAGTGAAGATCTCAGTATAGTACGAGTTCACATATCGCACGGTAATCCATTTAGACGAGACTCGCAGGCTAAATTATAAATCCTATAAAAACAAAATATTTCAACTCCAGCTACTCGGGCTTGTAAAAATTAATACAAAAGTGACTTTATATCTTAGCTAGATCAGGAAAAAAAATAAAATTAACGTCTGAAAGTACGAAAGAACTTGCCTTAAAAAGATAACTATTAAAACTACGTACCATATATCTTAACTAGACTATAATTTTTCAGTGAATTACACATGAAGTGGCTGAAATGAATAAAACCATATTAATTATTAAATTCGAAACTATTTTTAATTGTGTATAATGCCATTTTTTTTGTGCTATTTTTAATAAGAATTCATTTTTTTAAATAATAACACTACATATATAACTAATATGTGTTAAGAATAGCATAATATACAATTAATAATAACAATATATACTGTTCTCGTTGTTATTGCACCTGAAATAATTTTTATTTGAGCTCTACCCTCTCTCTTTATCTCTATATATATGTGATAATCGTGACTAGTTGAAGTGTTAATGATGCTATTTTTAATCAGGATTTATCTTTACCAGAACAATAACTTTATATAAAATAGCGTTTGTGTAAAAAGTAGTTCTGAATATATATATATATATATATATATACATATTTGTCATACCACTGTAATCGAAATCGACAAGGCCATCCGACCAACGGCCAGTAGGATAGCCGGGATATGTCATGCCGTACGGCTTTCGCCCGGCCGGAATAGTGATCTTTGGCATCACGTAAATGGAGTTGCCGATGTCAGTGACCCCATCACCCCAATGGTATAAATAGTTGAAAGGGCAATTCCAGCCTTGGGCTGAACTTGTACCAATTTGAATCGCCAAGTAAAGGCAAACGATTTTGAACACGGTCGAGTAAGACAGAGTTAGGCCATGCATTTGGACCTTCATGCCTGCTAAGTCAATCTTTAAACTGTAACAATCAAGGGAAACAAAAGATGTTGAACAAAATCAAATGCACAAAGAATAAATAGAAGCTTTAGATGAAGGAGATAAAAAATGTATGTGCATATATATAGTGATTTTGTACCTTAGCTAGGGAAATATGATGCTAAGAAGAGAAAGAGGTGCGGTGTGACTGCACAAATGAGTCCAGTATTTATAGCCACGAAAGGCATTATTGAGCCTGCTCGGTTAACAACAGGATTGAGGTCAATTCGGTCTTTTTGCGTTGCATTGTTTTGGTTTGGTTTCATGGTATTGGCTATAATTGGGGGACGACTTTTATGAATGTAGCGTGACAAATGTGTATCATTTTCTAATGGTTTGACTGCAGAAAAATTGTTAATTGGATAAGTAATTTTACTTTTCTTTTTGTTAATTTTTGCATTCCGGAAAATGCGTACACTCTAGGTGAAATACAAATTTATTTAAACCAATTTGGGTTGACAAGTTTATATTATTTCTAATAAATGTGATAGTTTTCAACTTTGTTAGTTGGATTTAATGACATGTATTTTACCACGTCGCAAGTCTAGCTCTACATAATCCATGCTACATTTTCTGGTTTTTTATTTGTAAATACTGCTTTTTTTTTATGTATTTTAATATAATATTTTCACAAAATTTATAGTAATAAGTGACGATAAATATAATTTAATTTTGAATTTGCGAAAAGATTTTATTTTGGAAATTTAGTATCGTATTTGTATTTATTATTAATAACTAATTCTTTGGATATTATATTGAAATTAAATATAACAATAGAACAACCTCAATATACATAATAGTCTAGAGCAGTGTTTTGTGACCCAGGACCCAGTCGACTCGGAGTCGGAACCGGTCCGGGTGGAGTATTTGGACCGGGCAACAAAGGACCCGGTCAAAACCCGGCCGACCCGGGGCATTGACCCGGTCCATATATATATATATATATATATATA